GCCCCCAATTGGTCCCTGACTCTGCAGCACACAGGACACAGCAGTGTTTTTGCCACACGGGCTTGTTGAGGGGGAGGGGGTGGACACAGAAGTAACGGATATAAGGCTTTTGGCCCCTGGGCCGCCTCCATCAGGCCTGCCCACAAATTTTGCCCCCCCAGACTCAGGAGGCACCAGTCACCCCTGGTGGGCATGCTAGTCTGCTTCAGGCCAGTAGGGAAGCATGCTCTAGTGCCCCCTGTCTTCTGGCCTGGGCCATTGCAGGCCTGTGGCTACATTTCTAGAATCAAAAGTGAACGTCTGTTCTCTTGCTCATGGGTTTAATCTACACAGGTGATGAATGAACTGATTTGGTGTCAGGCTTTTTGCCAGTATGCAGTTAGCCTTAAAGACTAAGGTAGATAGTGGGATATAAATCTCATTGAGGTAGATATTAAGTTAGTTTGAAGTCAATATGGTTCATGCAGCCTAGTGCTGTACATGTATCTGTCTCTTCACATGAGCAGGGAGCTCGTGGAACAAGGCATCAGCTGTAGGCTGACTTAACTAGGGACTAGGGCTTTGGGGCAAACGGGACTCCGGCCTCTTCCCCTGCTGTCTGGGGATGTGGTGACCCTCAGCTCAGGAAACCGTATCCCTCATCCATGATGTCACGTGTGAAGTCACCGCGCGTCTGCCTGGGATGCCCTCCCGTGCACCGCCGCTCACGATACCTCCAGCCTCTGCCTCTGCCGCCCCTCCCCTCACTCAGTGAGCTGTTGAACAGCGCCTGTCCGGGCTCCGGCTAGCCCCGCCCAGCTAGCGCTCCGCTGCCGCTGATTGGCTCCTCCAGCTCTACCCTCTCACTGGGGCTAGGAGCTCCGTATAAAGTGGGCGACGCCATGTGGCGCGGCGCAGGGCACGTGCGTCACAGCGCTCGCCAAGTCCCGCCTCTAGCAGAGGGGAAGTGAGGCTGCCAGCCGACCACAGCCCCCAGCATGCCTTGCGCCTGCCGGGGGTCTCGCAGGACCCGGTGTGGCGCGACGCTACCTCCTAGGCTAGTAGCCCGGCGTGAGGCGTGCGGAAGCGCTCTCCCCATTGGATGGCGGCGCCTCCGCCCCCGCCACTCCTCTCCGATTGGCTCGCATGGCCGTCCGTTAACGTGCGCCTAGCAATCGGAGCGCTGTTCCCGGGGAGCTCGGCCCCGCCCCGGCAACGGCCTTCGGCCGGAGGGGAAGTGGCCGCCATGTTGGCCTAGGAGCCGCTGCCGCTGCCGCGCAGGAGG